TGTTCACCACTTTTTAGTTGGGCGTCACTGTCGAATCATTGGGTACTTTTTTTTTTTTTTTTTTTTTTTTTTTTTGAAGCAGGAGCACTGAAAAATATGCAGTACCCTCACAAAAACTCGAAACCTTGACCTTTCGAACACGTATCGAGTATGCTTCCAATTATAGCACGAAGGCGTGCGGAAAGGAGAAGAAAATACCTTATAACCGTAATAGACTCTGCTCATCTGACAAGGCCCAATACATCGATATTAACTTTAACGAATAAAAATCTAGTAAGAAAATGCTTCATTTTTTTAATGATGGTATGATCTTTAGTGTTTGCAATTTAAGAAATACTATTGCGTTCCTATAAATCAATTATACAGTTAATTTCAGTTTTTTAATGCTTAAAATTTACAATATTTTCTTTAAACTTTTGTTTTAAATGTTTATTACTGATGCAGAATAATTTAAAGATATCTCATTTTATATTTATTTCAAGTTTGAAAGCATAACTTTTACTAAGAAAAAGAAAAAAATATTTTTTATTTTTCAATATTTCATAAGAGAATTAGTCATAATTCTTTTAAAACAAAGAACTCGACTAGAAAAGAATCACGATCTAGGAGTGTGACCTAAAAGTTCGGCTGTGTCATGTAATGACAGTCCATCATTATTGAATTCGGTACCTAGGTCATCACGGAGGGCTGAGACAATAGAATTCTGAGACAATTGTTCTCCATCACGGTTTCGCTTTAAAATTGAATAAGGCAAGAAAAACCTGATGGCGATCCTTGACATTGAGAAAGTTCGTATTTTGGAATTGTTTTAATTCTTTATTTATGCATTCAGTGTGGGAAAAAAGATACCTAAACTACATTAAATTTGGAAAATGATTTAAAAACGTTTTAAATATGTGAATCTGTAATGGTAACGTATCATAAACAGCTTGAACATGCAATTTAGTAATTTTTCTTTTCAGTTTGTTTTCAATTTGGCAATTAATTTGAAGCAATTAGCATTATTTTAAGATTTACTTAGTTGTTTTCTTTTTGAAGGATCGGTGTACTAATATTCTACAAAGTCAGCTTACGGAGCTATTAACACTCATTGCAACCGTTAGGATCAAGGACTTCCATTTTCTGCTCCCAGCAAGGTCAATCATCTTTCTCTTTTTTTCCAGTTAATTAAGGATTACACTAATCTGCATAAAAGAAATGTTATTTGCCGACAGTAAATGACACCTTTGCATGTTATCGCATTACACGTGTGCCTGTTCCAGTCGATCCGTGAGCTATTTTACATGATTTGAATCTTCTTACCCAGCACAAATGTAAGAATTTTTCTGATTATGAACTATTTATTATTGCAATGCTTACTAAAGTACTGGGCATTACTCCAGGATTACTGGTGTATTTATCGTAGATTCTAACAGGTTAAGGAACAGCACATTATAGGGACAGTGAATTCTTTTTTTTGGGGGGGGATTAAAGATCACATCAAAATGTATGACCAATAGTTGAAAAATAATATGAAAACTAAGTCTGAAAAATAATTAAAATAATTAAACTAAAAATAATTAAACAGTTATTCAATAGTTAAAATTAACAGTTAACTATACTCATGTCCATAAATTAAGAGAATTACAATATCAGCTGGTTTATGAAATCAAGTTATACAAATCAGATCTAAAATTACACTTAAGACAAAATGAAATAAAAATGAAGAAATGTGGGTCTATGCAATGTTTCTTTCTAAAAAGAACGGGAATATGCATGGATACGAAATGTCCAGCATAATTTCACTTGTGACACGAATGACGCGCAAATGCTTAACACGAGATGCAGTTTACTTGAATAGCATATATGTCGTACAACAATTCTGTATACTATTAATAAGATCGGCTAGCATTTCTGAGTGAAGGAAACCCCTTTTATAACAAGCAGTATTAAAACTGTGGAATAGTTTGTGGTGAAATTGCGAGGGGGTTTCCATACACAGTCAGTGAGATTTAAGAATAATGAATTTTTGGAGTTGTTAATTTATGTGCGTCACGAATTCATGCTGTTGACGTTCATATGCCACATTCGCTTCACAATGGCATTCCTTTGCTCAGAATCCAAGACTAACAGCAACATTAGAAAGCCACACTAATGCAAGACGGTTGTTAACACTGGTAACAGGTATTTAGTTTGCGTGACTCTGACATGGTCCAACGTCAAGAAAATCAGCACTCCATAGAAATTACTTTCGGTGTAAAGAGCTGAAACGTATCCCTGAGACTCTCAAGATGAATAAGTATTGTTCAGATAAAGCACTGTGATCCATGAATAAGTTACCTCTTTCTATGAGACAGGGCAAAGTATTCAAAAAAAGATATTGGGCTTGAAGATTCGTCTGCTATTGGCTTAATAAAGTGCACGCAGTATGTCCAATACATATGATAATTCCATTGTCCTGGTATTACCTGTCTTATAACTCAGACTTCAACAGGTCTGTACCAAAGGCTTTATTTTATAGTTTTGTTCTACGAGATTATTGCATCCTTGCATTTTAAAGTTCTGTTTTATTTCACCTAATATAAACCTTTAAGAGATGTGGATGTAGCTAGGAGATTTTTTTGGTAAATTTTGTTATGAATATTAATTTATACCTTCTAGCAGTAAAACAGCATCCTATTTATGTCTCAAATCTTGTACAGTGTATCAGGACTGGTATTCCTCTTTACTTGCTTTGGAAACATCAACTGTCCTGACTCGGAACAGGGAGCTTACTCAAGCTATGTTTGATAAATTGTGAAGTAGACAATACACACAGGAAGGGTATACAAAACCCTTTATTTTTCTCTCTTTACAACGATTTCCGGAACTTCGGAATACAGAGACCAACCACTTGTGGTCTGAACGTAAGAATATAAAAATATTAACTAAAACTCTAACTAAACTAACTTTGGATTAATAAACAAGTGCCTAACTCCAAGATTGGCCGTTAATTAACAAAAAGCCGTATGTAGTACAGAGAGCTGCTAAAACTACGATACGTTTAAAATTATCACGAGGATTAAACCTCTGGCCTTGAAGGCAACCAGCAACCGAGTAAAACTACTATGGCAAGCGGCCTGCTTCTAATAACTTCCTCTCTCTTGTTTGGCAAAAAGCCACAACTTAAGTACTTGGCGTTAGCAAGACAAATTTGCATAAATAAGTAAAAGCTTTTAATTCTGGCCGGAAGTAGAAAATAAGAAGTGATAGTAAAGATTTAAAATAAAATAAACGTTAGTAAAACTTAGGATCTTTACAAGTGTTCTTTATATTCCATTCTTGGGTAACTCATGTGTATTTGTTTTTTGTTGCTGTATAGATAATAAATTATAAATGGAGCCAAATCAAGCTATCACATGGACTTGATCACTACTGTAAAAAAATATTTTTTGATGGACATCATTTAAAATGTAACTTAATTTTGTTATAACAGTTTATTCTTCTAAATTATGTCTCAGTAATCAATACTTGAAACGGTAGGCAAATTTCTGCGGTATTTTAGCATATTATATATTTAAACTTTGTAACAAATTATATTTTCACTCGAAATATTACCTGTTAAATACTCGTATTTCTGTTTGTGAATGTAAATTTTACTGTATTCAACTGTATGTAACTTATGTAATTTTTGTTATCAGTGCATGCCTATTTGATCCAGCTGACCTAGACTGACCTTTAATTGTGGTCCTGCTAGTATCATTTGCTAGCATCTGGACATCAATAGGTAGAAAACCTAACAGAAAGCTAGCTGTCCAGTTGGTGGTGTAATGCAATCCGTTAGTTGATATCGAGGAGTTATGGTCGCACAGCTATCGTGTCATGCAGTTATGACACTAAAGTGGTCTTGTCCATACTATGCTCAATAGTATTTGGCAGTTCGGAATCTTTTTGAGTCTAGATATAAAGCTTTATAAAATATTTAGATCCTTGGACATTTGTACAACTTGACCTTCTGATGATACTATCTCACAGTGTTTCTTCGTATCTTTTATTGACATAGATCGCTTTTTGTTCGAAAGAAGTGCTCATAGAACGCATGGATACAAACACCTTGAAGCGACTGAAGCCGATTCTATGACTTTCCTTTGCAGATAGCCTGCTGAAACTTCAACATTAGCATTATTTATTGGTTTTAGTGGAGCTGATTATTGATGTAGAATGACGATTCTTCTAGTTAGGGATATGAGCTGCTACCTGTTGGTATACGGTTTGTGAACCAGCTACTACTCCAAGGGGGGCTGAGTTCACATTCTGAAAACACTTAGTTGTTTCTGGACTTCACGCTTACGTAAAATAAACATAAATCAAATGTTTTGGTCCAGACATCCTTACTCAGATCTGGCTTAGTATTGGATTATTCATACAGCCATCAAAGATACCAATGACTACCGCCAAAGATTAATTAATTAGATTTGCCATATTCATATTCAATTGATAAATGACATAAACGAGAAAAAAGTATCCAAATTATGTTTATAATAACCATGCTTGTCTTAAAATTATTCTATTTACATTAAAATCTGGAAATATACTAATATAAATCAATTTTTTTTATGTCTCTCAAGAAAACGTTTGAACTGACGCAGTTTAAAAGCTCTTTTCTGCAAAATAACTATAGTTAAACATGATTTCAGCCACTCATAACACCGATTGGAATAGTGCTGCTATTTTAGGTATGACATTTATCTAGAAGTTGGGTCTGAATGTTCTGAAACTATAAAATATAAATAAACAAAGTGAGAGTTTTATGTAAAATTATTGAAGAATATTAAAACAATACATATTATTAAAAATTGTAAAAATTGAATGAACAGCCTTATGTAAATACAGAATGTTATAATCTGCTTCTTGGTAAGTTTGTCAAATAAAATGGCATGCCATAGCTAAAATGCCTCTGTACTGCCAAGGTTTTAAAAATACATTTATGTTTGTAATGCTACGCTAAAGAAATAAATATATGAGTCAAGAATATAACTTACCATCTGGACACTGTAATAAGGAATTGCTCTGTAAGAAAAACAAAAGAGATGTAAATATATTTAAAAAACCATAATAAATAATATATAAATTGATTTTGATGTTATATGTTACGATTCATGTTTTCAGAATGTATCCAACATATGGAAAAAATTAGTCGCAGGTATGATTAAAAGAAACGAAAGAAATATTGGTTTATTATGCCAGAGAATAATAAATTCCAGTTTCTTTCAAAAATGATTGAAATTTCGTCATGAAATGATTTTTAAATTTTTATATCAAATAAAACTGAAAGGTACTAACTTCAGTTAGAGACCGATACATTAATAATACAGACTTTCTCTTAGTTTCAGTTTAACTATCATCTAATTAAAAATAACTCGAAACGCATTCTTTTTTAAAACTTTTTAACTAGTAGGAAGCATTAATAAATAGTTCATTTAAAATTTATTATTATATTAAACATTTCGAAATAATATGCATACATTTTACTCAGAGTTATTGTTGTAAATGTGTTAGATATTTCATGCATGAAAAGTTTTGTAAATTCACGATTACAGAACTCTTCGTAAACAATTTTGCCATTTTTTTTTCCTTTTCAAATATAAAACGTGTATAATGAGTAGCCGGGATTTGAACTTCTAAATGAAGCATACATTTTAAAAACTAAAAACAATTAAAAGCATTCCCTCATTCTTTACCGAATTTTTCATACCACAGTTTTAATCATATGAATGAAATTCTTATGTTAAAAATTGATTACCTAGTTATCTACTTATTTAAAGCGCTACGTGTTTAAACTTTTCTATACGTTTGTTAAAAAAAAAAAAAAAAAAAAAAAAACTGACATTGACGCTAAAGTTTATATTGTACAAACATTGCTACTTAATTTTTTTCATAAAATCATGCTTCATGTTTCTTATTTCTATACATAAATTTCTGTCAGTTAAGCTAATAAAACATTGACGTTAACTATCTATAAAAAAGTACGGAACTAGGTTTTTTGGAAGGTATATATTATCCTGTCACTCATGACTGTGTAACGTGTAAACGAACCAGTTTCCCTTAGGAAATTTTCCAAGGTGTCCCTTCCTTTTAGGTAGAAAACTCTCGAGTTCTTTGCCGCAGTCAAGTAAACCAAACCAAACACAGAAACTGTCGTCAAATAGTGCGATTTAACTTCAGTTATGCATAAGTGGAATGTAGCAACGCACTCATAACATCTGTGCTTTCGTTGATGTAACCTTGACTGATTCTCGATAAGACAAATTTTGGTTTTTTGAATAAGGATATAAATTGATTGTTACTGTTGAAACTTTTTCATGCATTTCGAAAACAAATTATTAATACTCTGGACCTGCTTTCATTAGAATAGTAAGCAGTGGATTATTTTCACAACCATGGGAGCCTGCTATAGAAAAGTACATCTTATATAATACGACATGGTCAGCCGAATATGACCGACAAAACAGTAATGGATTGCAAAAGTCACCTGCGTACAGCTTGTACTCATAGCATTCTAAACAGATCTTTTAGTAAAACCAGAGGGCCTAATAAAGTAATAGAAATCGACAAAAGCCTTTTTACGAAGCACAAAAAGGGAGTGGGTCGAATATTGATTGTTTATTCAATTAAGAGACATTAAGTTCCATGAAAATGGTTCCAAAGGAATGACTAGCGTAGCTTTGACAAGATCTTCGCCGACTTTTATGATTTCACGATGGGCGGAGTTAATATTTATTTCTAGGCACAGTATAGTACTCTTGAAAAAGATAGTTTGTAATCTTATTTTGAAAAATAAAAATTTATGTAAGATTAAAAATGCAATAGTTTTATTTACAACTGGATAAAAATACAGAATGGTTTTCCTTGCTTCCTTGTCAATAATCCATTCTTATCTAGCAGTGACTGTGAAAATAGTATGTGAAATCGAAATATGTGCAACGCTGGTGAAATCATATCAGGATTTAAATTTTCTGAACCATTAAATTGTTCTCTCTCATGTGCAATAATAATAACGGCCGAAGAATAAGTGAAAGAAGCAGGGAAATCCGTTACAAAAAATAGGTTTCAATTTTTATTGGGTTCTCCACCACAAAAACATAGCCTTTAGGGATTTCTATTCGTGAGACACTCATCACAATTCAGAAGTTTGGAAATGTGCACAATCTAAACATAACTAATGGTGTTTAAAACCAAATTATGAAGACAAATGCATTTATTCAGTTCACTGATATAAAAGAGTAAAAGGCCATATTTAATAATTTTAAAAAAAAATCAAAAGGGCAGTCTTTTTTTTTAATTAAAGAGCATTTTTAATCAAAATACTGAATTTAATATTCTAATGCAATTTTCAGAGAAACCTCTTTTAAGTTTTTTTTTTTTTTTCATAACATTCCTTTAAGAAAATATATCACATGTGCTCTGATATTTTTTCAAGCATTTGCACTTCCTAGTTGGAGATAAGAAACTAAAAATATAATTTTCAATCCTGTACTCGTCAAGTTTATCCGTCAAGTGTTACCCGTCAAAAATTTGTTTTGTTGATCCTGTATAAAATTTGAAAGAATTTTTAACATGATGTTTTCGTATGTTACATATAAAGGAACTTTATTATTTTTGATGTTATCCTTGCTTTTCCATTCTTATTTTTATGGCAGAGTTCGCATTAAACGCTTTCCAGACGGTTGATCAAGCATGGCTTACGAATGCAGTGAGATCTGTATGTACAGTATGAAATATCACTTCTTGACTATTAAAATTTATGTTTTTTTTGGGGGGGAAGGAAACATTTCAATCGATACTGAGGCTAGATTATAATTTTTGTTCAACAAATAAATCCTATAGCATTAAATTTACTGAACTATTAAAATAGATTCAGAAATCTTTGCTCAGCGGAACGCAAAAAGTGAAGTACATAGTGCAAATCTCCTGTGAAAAATTAAGGGAATTTGCACATTATGTCGAATTTCTGAAAATTTGATGGACAGATTTTAATAAAATTTGAAATGAACGTGTATTTAGAATTTATACCGGAGAAAGATGTACCGTTCAAAAGGCATAAAGGCATTTTATATAAGCATGATTATCAGTAAAGCTTATAGTGCAAAAAATGTCTAAAATCCACTTCGTGATACTGAACTGAAAGTGAATCTAATATAGTGTACGAACCTCTCTCACAGCTAAACAGGTCGCGCAGCGTGAGGGCATACTAAAAAGGAGGCAACTGAGGAGTCCCTTGTGGCAGTGATTCCACTCCTGCACTCCACGATGGCTTTTGGAGGAAAATGGCAAGAATCCCTTCCCCCCCAAAAAAAGAGCGTCCCATATCTATAGGCTTAAGTTTAGTAGATCTGGCTGGCCAATCCATACGGCGAATATCATCACTTTCCAGGTAACTGACGACCAGCTGAGTGCTACGTGGACGAGTGTTGTCGTCTATTAATTGCGCTCCTGGAAATTCGAACATAAGGCTCTAAGATTTCCTCTCTATACCTCATAGTCAGGGAGCCTTTGAAAAACACATACAGTGGTGTGCGGCCGTCCAACAAAACGCCTGTCCAAACCATTACACCTCCACCACCGTAATGATCCTTTTCTTTGAGGAGGAAGGGATGATACTGTATTCCAAATTCTGTCCAGATACAGGTACCAATAATTAATGTCAAGGCTGAATCTCGACTGATCTGTCCACTATCTGGTCACAAGTCTCGTCCAAAGCACATGTTGTCTGCACCATGTTAAACATACTCTGTTATGTACTGCAGTGAGCGGGATGCGAACAGTGGGTCTTTTGGCATACAGCCCTACTTCGTAGAGACTTTGGGCAACTGAAGAACGTGAAACTCGGGTTCCAGTGGCAGCATACAGCTCACGTGGGAGCTGTGAAACTGCAGCAGTGCTGTGACGCGACGCTGAAGGTGCCAAATAATAATTCTTATTTGTCGTTGTGGTTCTTGCTTGACCTTGTCTAGGTCTTTTCGATATAAATCCAGAGTCCTAAAACTGTTTACTCGAACTACAGGCGAACCTGTGGGTTACATTGAGCTCTGTAAACGCATGCGCTTGTGATTAACCGGCCTCATATCTCCTGAACTTCCCCATCTCACACTGTAATCCGTACGTCCGTGGCTACTCAATGTACTTGATACCTTACAAAAATTACCCAAATCTTGTGAGAAACACGGCGAATGCCGTGAAGGAGTGCGAATCGCTGAAAACCCCTTGTGCGCCTTTATCCCCCCCCCTACAATCACAGTTCCGCAGTGACGCACTTGTAAACTCACGTATTCGACTCTGAATATTTGCATAATTTTTGAGTGGCATAATTAAAACCTTTGGCTCCAACCTTTTCATAAAAATAGACATAATTTTCAAATTCTTTTACTTTTGCACACGAGTGCATATGGTGCCAGAAATATCTATTTTGATTTACGGTAAGCGTTCAAATGCTTATAAAATTTATCGTTTAAATACACATATTATAATTTATAGGTAAGTAATTAAAAAGTACGTGTACTGTTTTTAAACACTTCGCTTGTTCCACTAATGATAAATACACTATTATATTGTCTAATCCATGGATAGCACGACTCTTGTTGGAAATCTGTGACAGCGTTTATAAGGAAGTTCTGCAAATCTTGAATTCTCGAAATTTTAGGCAAAGGTGTATAGGAATCTATTCGTCTGAAAACGCACGATAATAAAAAAATGTAACCTCTAAAACAGCTCCAGATAAACAAATAAAAACTTATAGTATATAACAATTTGAGCGCGCAACACTGTTTTGCGATTTTCCTAAATTTAAAAATGCTGTTTCCTCAGTGCCTAAATGGTATAGTTTGAGAGAGAAAATGAAAAGTAATAAGTGAATTGATGCATACAGAATTTTAATTCACATCATTATAAGTCAGCGTTTGCTCACAATTTTGCAAAAATTCATGGAATATATATGTTTTTAGACAGCATTTGTTCACACTTTTCCAACAATTATTATAGTGCTTTGCATTTCCAATTCGAGCTGTGTAGTT